ACTTCCAGAGGGCACAGCCCTTGTCAAGCGGGAGGCCTGATACGGTTGTGAGGTTAAGCAGGCATGTGCAGGACGTGACGATTCCTTGGGTGAGCCCAGAACCACAGCAGGTGAATGAAGAAGAAGAAGAAGAAGAAGAAGATACAGAGGTAGGAGGATGGAAAGAAAGACAAGATAACACACAATTCCTTTTAGTGAGTAATCACAATAACCAGCTAAGTACCCAAGATCTCATCAAATGGAAGCAAATAGCAGCAAGGAAAGTAAGAAAATAAATCGCCTAACAAGAATAAAGAATCAATATCAAAGAGAACGATCAAATACCTTGAAATGGCGGCGACAGGATGGTACTTGAAGAATACAACAGAAGCAAATTTCCGCCAGATGTGCCTTGACAAGGAGCCCTCATTGTCGGAAACGCAACCAAACTACACAATAATAAAGTACATCGGATACATACCTCCTTGCAAACCAACCGCAATGTTACTAGAAATTCAACAGACAAGACGAATCACCATCAGTTAAACGACCTCTGTCAACAAGACATAATGGAACCACAGGAAATTTAATGAGAACAAGTAATGCACAGAGAGAATCACAATTATAAACGAATGAGCATAACTGCTTAAAGGCGATCGATTTATTCTTGTCGTTTCTGAACAGACCTAAGACTGAAGACCATTTGATTTGTTCTCTTGGTGCAGGTTAGTAGTACTCCATCACGGACAGACGACCATAACTACCACAAAAAGATGACCACAACCATCACAAACAGACGACCACAACCGCTACAAACAGTCGCAAACAACCACACAGATGATCTACCACAACCATCACAAACACAACCACCACAAACAGACGACCTTAACTACCTCAAATAATCGCCCACAACAACCATTAACAGTAGACCACAACCATCACAAACAGACAACCACAACCATCACAAACAGACGACCACAACCATCACAAACAGAAGACCACAACCATCACAAACAGACGACCACAACCATCACAAACAGACGACCACAACCATCACAAACAGACGACCACAACCATCACAGACGACCACAACCATCACAGACGACCACAACCATCACAAACAGACGACCACAACCATCACAAACAGACGACCACAACCATCACAAACAGACAACAACAACCATCACAAACAGACGACCACAACCATCACAGACGACCACAACCATCACAAACAGACGACCACAACCATCACAAACAGACGACCACAACCATCACAAACAGACGACCACAACCATCACAAACAGACAACAACAACCATCACAAACAGACGACCACAAACAGACGACCACAACCATCACAAACAGACGACCACAACCACCACAATCAGACGACCACAACAACCACAAACAATCGCCCACAACCACCAAAACAGACAACACAACCAACACAAACAGGCGACCACAACCACCACCCCAATCATCACAAACAGACGACCACAACCACCACCACAACCATCACAAACAGGCGACCACAACCATAACCACAACCACTACTAACAGACGACCACAACCGACACAAACAGACGACCACAACCACCACCACAACCATCACAAACGACCACAACCACCACTAACAGACGACCACAACCACCACAAACAGAAGACCACAACCACCACTACAACAGACACAAACAGACGATCACAACCACCACAAACAGACGACCACAACCATCACAAACAGACGACCACAACCATCACAAACAGACGACCACAACCATCACAAACAGACGACCACAACCATCACAAACAGTCGCCCACAACCATCACAAACTGTCGCCCACAACCATCACAAACAGACGACCACAACCACTACAAACAGACGACCACAACCATCACAAACAGTCGCCCACAACCACTAAAAACAGACAACACAACCATCACAAACAGGCGTCCACAACCACCACCACAATCATCACAAACAGACGACCACAACCACCACCACAACCATCACAAACAGGCGACTACAACCACCACCACAACCACCACTAACAGACTACCACAACCGACACAAACAGACTACCACAACCGACACAAACAGACGACCACAACCATCACAAACGACCACAACCACCACTAAAAGACGACCACAACCACCACAAACAGAAGACCACAACCACCACTACAACAAACACAAACAGACGATCACAACCACCACAAACAGACGACCACAACCACCACAAACAGAAGACCACAACCACCACTACAACAAACACAAACAGACGATCACAACCACCACAAACAGACGACCACAACCATCACAAACAGACGACCACAACCATCACAAACAGACGACCACAACCATCACAAACAGACGACCACAACCATCACAAACAGTCGCCCACAACCACCAAAAACAGACAACCGCAACCAACCCAAACAGACGACTACAACCACCAAAAGTCTACCCGACCAACTCTACAAAACATAATTGTTTTCTCCGATTTTTCACAACGCCCCCCCCCCCCCCCCTTCCCCCCAGAGACACATACACACATACATCTAAAGACATCTAGTCAATCCTCCTTTTAAAAAACAAACCCACCCCGTTAATTCCATTTACTAACGCCGGCTATTCTGTCGTCCACGTGTAATTTCACTGACCAATGAAGCGTTGGCCAGCAGATAAAATCCCCCTGGGAGTTCACAACACATATTTGTTCAGTCCACTCCAAGAGGTAGAAAGCCGTCTTCTCTCTACCCCGGTAAATTCAAGTACAGTAACTAAAATATTTACAAATAATGCAATTAAATAGGAATAACAAATTAACAAACAGACCAGAATTATGAACGTATAACTAGGACAAGACTTTAGAAACGATCAAGCGTAGCCTAGGTCTTTAGGGGATGTAAGGAATTGTAATAAATGACACTACCAAGCATGTCTAATGAGGCAACTGTGGTTGGGTTGGTCATGAGGTTTGCTACTCCATCCAGTATAAAAACATCAACCGCAATGGCTAACCGAGCATAACAAAGGCTTGGTGCGAGGTGGTTGAGGTCATATGAGCCATTTATAGATACGGGGAAGAAGGAGGAGGAGGAGATGAAAAAGGTGGCGACCGCGGCGCCGCTGGAGGAGGAGGAGTAAAAGAAGAATAAAGAATTCAGTGCAAGAGGAGGAGAAGAAGAAGAAGCAGCAGCAAAAGGGGAAGAAGAAGAAGAAGAAGAAGAAGAAGAAGAAGAAGAAGAAGAAGAAGAAGAAGAAGAAGAAGAAGAAGAAGAAGAAGAAGAAGAAAAGAAGAAGACATGAATAAAAAGAAGAAATGAAGAAGAGTTTCCTGGTACTGAATAAGTTAACAGCTTACATGGCCAAGCACCGTCACTGTCTGCCCCTGCAGTCTAACACAAGAACAATGGACACAACAATTATACATCCATTCTCGGATGCCGACGTTGACCCCAAGGAACGCCGATGGCTTATTTTTTCCAACAATCCAATCATCTTCAAATCAAAATTCCCTAAGGTATTGTTCTCGATCTGTATGACAAATGACACGACGGTCGCTTT